AGTGAGATTCTGTCTCTAAAAAAAAATCAAATTGGCTAGGTGCCCGTAGCACAATGGTTCTGGCGCCAGCCACATACACCGAGGTTTGTAGATTGAACCCACCCAGGCCAGCTAAAGAACAACAACTGCAACAAAAAATAGCCAGACATTGTGGCAGGCACCTGTAGTTCCAACTACGTGGGAGGCTGAGGCAAGAGAATCAATTAAGCCCAAGAGTTGGAGGTTGCTGTGAGATGCTAGTGAGACTCTGTCTAAAAAAAAAAATTAAAAATCTAGAAGCTGGGTGTGATGGCTCATGCCTGTAATCCTAGATAGCACTGTGGGAGACTGAGGTGGGTGCATTGCTTGAGCTCAGGAGTTTGAGACCAGCCTGAGCAAAAGTGAGACCCCCCTCTTTACTAAAAACAGAAAAAACAGGCAAGTATGATACAAGCCTGTAATCCCACCTCCTCGGTGAGGCAAGAGGATTGCTTGAGCCTAAGAGTTTGAGGTTGCCGTGAGCTATGATGAAACCAGGGCAGTCTACCCAGTGCAATAGAGTAAGACTGCCTCAAAAAAAAAAAAAAAAAAAAAGTTAAAAGTATAGAATTAATTCCTCCCCCTAAAAGAGCAATCAGTTAACATCTACTGAGTACTACTTACCCAGCATATTACTATATATTTATGTGCTTTGTCATATTTGAACCTCACTACCTTATGAGGCTGTTTAACATTTTACAGATAAAGAAGAGTGAAGTAACATGCATAAAGTCACTCAACTAGTAATCTGGAGCCAGGATTTAAACCAAAGTAGGTTGGCTCCAGACTTATAAGCTTATTTAAGCTGCCTATTCAGCCTTTTACTTTTTTTCCCCTAACTTTATCTCAATTCTTGGGACTTTCAGATTCTGCTCCTCTACTTATCAGCTGTCCAGCCTTGGGTGAGTCACTTAACCTCTCTGTGCCTTAATTCCTCATCAGTAAAATGATGTTTTAATGATGGTACTATTCCATAGTGTTTGTTGCAGGGACTAAATGAATATGTGTAATGCACTTGGTATGTGGTAAATTCTCTTATTATATATACATATTCCTCTTCTCTCAAACAGCAGGAGCAGAAAAGGAACTTTCTTTTTCTTTCTTTCTTTTTTTTTTTTGAGACAAAGCCTCACTATGTTGTCCTTGGTAGAGTGCCATGGTGTCACAGCAACCTCAAACTCTTAGGCTTAATTGATTCCCTTGCCTCAGCCTCCCAAGTAGCTGGGACTACAGGTGCCCACCACAACGCCCTGCTATTTTCTTGTTGCAGTTGTCATTGTTGTTTAGCTGGCCCAGGCTGGGCTGGAACCTGCCAGCCATGGTGCATGTGGCTGGCACTGTAACCACTGTGCTACAGGTGCCAAGCTGGGAACTTTCTTTTGCTACAGAAAGTTCTCAGAAGTACAGGTCAGAACTCCTTCATGTTTCTGACCAGAAAAGGGGGAGCAGGAAAAACGAAGTAACTTTCCTAAAATCACATGCTGAGTCTGTGGCAGACTACACAGATAACCACTAGAGGACTGTATCTCCAGGCTGGGTGCTGTGGTTCACACCTGTAATCCTAGCAACTCTTGGAGGCCAAGCCAGAGGGGTGGATCCCTACAGCTCAAGAGCTCAAGACTCCATCTCTACTAAAAATAGAAAAATTAGCCAAGCATTGTGACAAGCGCCTGTAGTCTCAGCTACTCCGGAGGCTAAGACAAGAGGATCGCTTGAACCCAGCAGTTTGAGGTTGCTGTGAACTAGGCTGACCCCACGGCACCCTAGCCCCCTGGCGACAGGGCAAGATTTCATCTCCATTAAAACAAACAAAAAAATTAAAATATAAAAAAAATTTTAAAAAACACAACTGTATCTCCAAAGCTGCCCACCTTCCGCATTCTTGACCACCCTCTTTCCAAGGGTCTCGCTGACCTGTGAGCTCCTGGATGGTAACACGGTCCAGAATCTTGAAGCTCGTGTCCAGTTTCAGGGGCTGGCTGCAACGCTGGCACACGAAGCTCACCTGCATGGTGCTGTTGGAAGTCTTAGATCCCTCCATCCCTGCGTCAGTGGAAAGGAGGCAACGTTAGGGAGAATCAGCACCCTTGAACCTCTGGGCCACGGCTACCACCTGCCCTGGTGGTGGTGGTGGTGGTGGTGCTGCTGCTGCCGCAGGGGGAAATGCCTGAGCTGCACCCGCTCCTTTTAGGAACGGTGTGATATCAGGCTGACCTGCTTCCGGAGTAGCCAGAGCTAAGACACATTAGAGCCCAGGGGTCAGGGAGCAGACTCCAACAAGAGGAGTTAAGAATTCCCTGGCTCCCTTCTAAAGTCCCAGTTTAGCCCCTGACGCTTTTCACCTCGGGACTCCGAAGCCCGCCACCCAGGTCCAGTCTACCGCGGGGGCACAGTAGCCTCGGGTCTGCCCCAGAGCGAGGCCTCCAAAACTGCCATCGCCCAGTCTTCAGCTACTTCCCGGTCCTCCAGCAGGAAACTTCCGGCCGGGACCGGACGTGACGCCACGACGGCGGCAGGCGGTCCAGGTCCACAAGCGGTTGTGCCCGGCAGCGGCCCCCAGAGGCTGAGCTGGGAAAAGCAGCAGGCGTCAGCGGGTGTGTCAAGGTTGCTACCCGGAGCTGCAGCCAGAAGTTGGGAGAGACTGAGGAGCCTTCGCTGTTCTGTAAATTCAGTGGGTTTGCTCAAGAATGGTCACTCCCAAGTAGAGCCACTTTAATTCTTCCTCTAGTATCAGTTTAAAAATTTTCTCCTTAGGAGAGCCGGGCTGTCCTTAAGACGCCTCTGTGGGAGTGATAGACGCAAGGGTACGTGTGTGTGTGTAGATAAGGTTTACTTGGTTTTTTTGTTTTGTTTTGTTTTGTTTTTGTAGAGACAGAGTCTCACTGTATCACCCTCGGTAGAGTGCCATGGAGTCACACAGCTCGCAGCAACCTCCAAATCCTGGGCTTAGGCAATTCTCTTGCCTCAGCCTCCCAAGTAGCTGGGACTACAGCGCCCGCCTCAACGCTCAGCTATTTTTTGTTGCAATTTGGCCGGGTTTGAACACCCCACCCTCGGTATATGGGGCCGACGCCCCACCCGCTGAGCCACAGGCGCCGCCCTACTGTGTTTTATTTTATATTTTAAAGTTTCAATTATTAATTAGAGAAGGCCGAGCATTTTTAGATATTGACCTGTTTTATAACGTTATAAAATTAGCCCCGCGCAGTGGCTCACGCCTGTAATCATAGCACTCTGGGAGGCCCAGGTAGGTGGATTGCTTGAGCTCAGGAATTCGAGATCAGCCTGAGGAATCACCACCGCACCCCCATCCCACCCCCGTCTCTCAAAAATAGCTGGAAGTTGTGGCAGGCGCCTGTAGTCCCAGCTATCAGAAGGCTGAGGCAAAGGGATCCCTTGAAACCAAGAGTTTGAAGTTGCTGTGAGTTATGTCGCTACGGCACTCTACTGAGGGCAACAAACTGCGATTGTCTCAAAAAAAAAAAAAGTTATAAAATTAAAACATTTTTGGTGGAGAAATAAATCAATGGAACAGAATAGAGTTCAAAAATAGATCAAGTATACAGGGGAATTTAGTGTGCGATAAAGGTTGCGTTTCAAATCAATGGGAAATGAACTATGTAATAAGTGATGAGTAAGGCTCCAAAGCCATGTAGATAATAGGTAGTGGTGAGCTGAATCTTCTATTTTACTGTTTACACCAAAAGAAGTTCCAAGTTGGTCACAAATGTAAGCTTCAAAAGTGCAATGATGAAAGCAGGGGTATTTTTTTATAATCTTGGAAAAGGGAAGCTTTGCGTAAGCATAACATGAAAATCAGAAGTCAACAGGGAAAATAGTGAATTTCACTAGAGACAACGTCTCACTTAATCATCCTTGGTAGAGTGCCATGCTGCCACACAGCTCACAGCAACCTCCAACTCCTGGGTTAGGCGATTCTCTTGCTTCACTCCCCGGAGTAGCTGGGACTACAGGCACCTGCCACAACGCCCAGCCATTTTTTTTGTTGCAGTTTGGCGGGGGCCAGGTTTGAACCCTCCACCCTCAGTATATGGGGCTGGCACCCTACCCACCGAGCCACAGGCACCGCCCAGAAATTAATTTTTTTTTTTTAACTATCAAAGACTCTGTGAACAAAACTTACAAAAGAGAAATGTAGGGCGGCACCCCTAGCTCAGTGGGTGGCTAAGCAACAATGACAACTGCAACAACAACAACAATAAAATAGCTGGGCATAGTGGTGGGCGCCTGTGGGTCCAGCTACTTGGGAGGCTGAGGCAAAAGAATCGCTTAAGCCCAAGAGTTTTGAGGTTGCTGTGAGCTGTTGATAACACGGCACTCTACCCAAGGCAACAGCTTGAGACTGTCTCAAAAAAGGAAAAAGAAAAATGTGGAAAATATTTGCACCTCAAAAGGTAGAAGGCAAATTTCCTTAATATACAAATTTCCTTAATATACAAAATGCCAATCAATAAAGATACCAATAGGCCAATAATGAATGGGCAAAAAAATCTGAAATAGAAAAATAAATACATATGATTGATCAGAAAAAAGAGATGTTTCGTTTCTCTTATAAATAAGTCCCCTGCAAGGAGGTAGCATTTCTCATTTATGAGATTGATAAAGATTAAACCTGTTGATAACAGCCAGGTTGATGAAGGGGATCTCTTAAATATTACACTAGGAGTATAAATTGCTATAATCTTCTTGGAGATCAATTTGGGGTTATCTAACAAAAATTTAAATGTTCATGTGCTTTGAAATAAAATCACTTTCTAGTAATATTCATAATAGACATACAAATGCCCAAATATGTATATAGGAGGGCTGTCTGGAAAGTATCCAGGTATGCAATATGAAAAATGGAGACACGTATGGCTGGATACTTTCCAGATAGCCCTTGTATATCTGTATTCAAGAATGCTCACTGCTAAATGTCCTTCAGGATATGGTTTAAATTAATTATAGTAGTAGTCATTTAGTGGACTATGCACCATTAAAAAGAATGAAGTAAACATATGGAAGGAAGTCTATGAAATAGTTCATTCATTCATTCAAAAAATTTATTAAGGACTTACTATGTGCCAGGGACTGTTTTAGGCACTGAAGATGCAACAACAACAAACAACTATCTATACTCTCATGGAGCTTTATTCTAGGGGGAAAGACAGACAATAAATATAGTATAATATTGTACAGTGATAACTATCAGGAGAAAATAAAGTAGGAAAAGGGGATTTTCAAACATGTGTAGGTTGGGGCAGGCATGTAATTTTAGGAAGGTGGCCAGGGAAAGTTTCACCATAAAAGAGATATTTGAATAAAGACTTAAGGAAAGTGAGGAAGGAATTCCTGCATTTAACTAAAGAAAGAGCATTCTAGGGCAGTGCCTGTGGCTCAGTGAGTACAGCACCGGCCCCATATACCTAGGGTGGTAGGTTCAAACCCGGCCCCGGCCAAACTGTAACAAAAAAATAGCCAGGCGTTGTGGCAGGC